CAGCGCTCCCTCAGTACTGACCCTCTGACAGTGCAGCGCTCCCTCAGTACTGACCCATTGACAGTGCAGCACTCCCTCAGTACTGACCCTCTGACAGTGCAGCACTCCCTCAATACTGACCCTGTGGCAGTGCAGCGCTCCCTCAGCACTGACCCGCTGACAGTGCAGAACTCCCTCAGTACTGACCCTCTGAGAGTGCAGCACTCCCTCAAAACTGACCCTCTGACAGTGCAACGCTCCCTCAGCACTGACCCTCTGACAGTGCAGTGCTCCCTCAGCACTGACCCTCTAAAAGTGCAGCCTCTCCCTCAGCACTGAACCTCTGACAGTGCATCGCTCCCTCAGCACTGACCCACTGACAGTGCAGCACTCCCTTAGTACTGACCCTCTGACAGTGCAGCGCTCCCTCAGCACTGACCCTCTTGACAGTGCAGCGCTCCCTCAGTACTGACCCTCTGACAGTGCAACGCTCCGTCAGCCCTGACCCTCTGACAGTGCAGCACTCCCTCATTACTGACCCTCTGACAGTGTAGCACTCCCTTAGTACTGACCCTCTGACAGTGCAGCATTCCCTCAGCCCCGACCCTCTGACAGTGCAGCATTCCCTCCATACTGACCCTCTGACAGTGTAGCGCTCCCTCAGTACTGACCCACTGACAGTGCTGTACTCCTTCAGTACTAACTCACTGACAGTGCAGCGCTCCCTCAACACTGTGTACCTGTCTGTATCATGGGCGTCAGTCTCTGGTACTGGTCTTGATGTCAAAACTATCTGACTGGGATGAGAGAGCTACCCATTAAGCAATAACTGATATTTAGATACACAAGTAAAGCCAATGGGCTGTGAAGCCCACAAATCACAGAGATTATGATTGAATGCATGGAGTGACATATACCTGCTAAATCAACAAACATAGCATGATTGCATTGATTCCTGCATAAAATGTGTGGCATGAACTGATTGAAATTTCCTATCTCTTTGTTCTAATTACGAAGCTTAAATGTCTTTCCCGTGTACCCACACCTCCAACAGTGAATAAAAAGAGCTACTTATCATTGAGACGAAACTGTCCAATCAGCTGCCTCCAATCATCCTGTGTCCTGGCACAACCCCTACACCTTCTCTGAAGTTACACCTCTGTCCTAGACCTGGACTCTCAGCCATTTCCTGTTACCCCATCTACCTTTGATCATCTCTGAGCTCAGCTTCTGCATGATACCCATCTCCTGTCCTATTCTATTTCCTGTCATGGAATAACAGGAAATAGGACAGGAGATAGAACAGAACCCCTATTCTAGTTCCTGTTATGAATGTTTTTCCTCAACCATTGACCTCATCCCACTCCCTTACAAATGCCTGAAGCAAACTAGATTTTTCCCAGTTTTGGTGTTGCATCTGACCACATGGCCATGACTTGCTTCCACCCTGTGTAACATTGTCTATCGTCAACCCTTTCTCAGCTTACTACTGCTGAATCTTTCATTCATGCCCTTGTTTCCTCCAGGCGTGACTGTTACATTGCACTGCTGGCTGGTCTTCGACATCCTGCGAAAATCACAAATGACCTCTGAGATGTTACACTGGGTTGTGAGTGGTAAAATTGGAACAAAGTAACAAATACACAAAAGATAGATATAATTCCTGAATTTCCATTTCGTAACTCCCTTTTTGAATTAACAATGATGTGCAGAAACCCCCTCGAGGTCATCTCAATATGACCACCACCCAGCAGCTGATTTAACCCAGCTAAAACCAGGAGAATCTTTTAAATGGGGACCTCCTTAATGAAAAGCATCCAAAATAATCCAGTGCCTGTAATATGTTAGAAACAGCATCATGTAGTCAGGCCTGTGGTGATAAGTTCAAACAGTAACATTAGACGTTCTTGTGGTGCAGTTGTAGTGTCCTTACCTCTGCACCAGGAGGCCTGGCTTCAAGCCCCACTTACTCCAGAGGTGTGTAATAACATCTCAGCACAGATTGATTGGGAAAAATACTTTCTAAACAGTGACAGTTTTGGAAAGGCTAGCGGGGTGGGGAGGGGTTCCTGGGATATTGTAACACAGCAGTAGTGTTCCTACCTCTGGACCCAGGAGACCTGGCTTCAAGTTCCTACCTGCCCTAGAGGTGTGACATAATGTGACTGAATGTATCTGTGGTGTTAACACGGTGCAGCAGTTTCAACCAGCACTCATAGCCTCTCTGCCTTCAGTACTAGTGGCTGTGGAGCACCTCAGTATATTTTAGTCTTCAAACCATGATTATGAAAGCAAGTTATTGTACCAGAGCTATAACACATCCATGAGAAATAAAGAAAGTGAACATCCATCAATTTTCTCTAAACAGATATCATTGATATTAACTATTATATAAAAATAACTGAAAGCTGCTTATCTTACATTTCCTTATTTGATGCTCACAACAACATACGGAGAACGTTGCGAACATTTAAACAATACTTCAAAAATATTCTACAAAGCTTCAGTTATTTTTAAATAGTAGTTAATGTCAATGATGTTTGTGTAAAGGAAGTTGTTAGATGTTCACTTTCTGTGTTTCTCATGTTGTGGTTCTGGTACAATAAATTGCTTTTATAATAATGGTTTTAAGAGTAAAATACACTGAGGCACTTCATAGCCACTCGTATAGAAGATAAACAATGAAACGGCACTTGCATTTATACAGCATGACCTGAGGACATCACAAGACACTACAGATGCAGTGAAGTGCTGTTGTAATGTAGGCAGCCAACGTGTGCTCAGTACAACAGGGATGTGATGATGAGCAGATCAGCTGGTTTAGTAAAACGATGCTGGTCAAGAGATAAATTTTGGACAGGATGCAAGATTCTCCTCAAACTGTGGCCATGGGCTCTTCCATAGTCACTAAAGAAGGCAGGCAGGGCCCTGATTTTCCATCTCATCTGACTCCTACAACAATGTAGTACTACCTTAGAAACACACTAGACAACAGCCTGCTTCATTGAGCTCATATCTGTAGAATGGGGCCTGAACCCAGAACCTTTTGATTCTGGAAGATAGGAGTGTCACCCAATGAGCAACAACTGCCACCCAGACTAGCCCCTCTGTAGTAAACACCAGTGGATATCAGGTTTGATCCACATACTGAGACTATATTTCTAGACTTCATAATGCACACAGTTCACTACAGTTTCAGTTTAATTAAACACGCATATTGACAAACACTTCTTAAAAAAAGTGTCTTAGAATTTACACTTTTGGTTTAGTTGTTATCTTTTAGCACAGGGCAAACATTTTTAAATTCTACACTTATTCCAGAAGGTTTTCCTGATGTCCAGTTTACAGCCTATGAATTTTATAACAATCTCCACACAGTGGCACGCAATAATTGGAACACAGGAATATTTACTACAGTGACAGAGTGCCTGACAGACTCTAATCTTCTCTCTTCACTGATGGGCATGAGTGGGACTGGATATTGGGATCCCTGTGACTGGCTTCATCCAGGTCGATAATTTCATCATTAATCTTTATATCGAGGCATCCGGTAAAGGAAGCTGTGATAGGTGCGGATGTAAATGGAACAGCTGCAAGCAAAAACAAGACAGCATTGTTAACAACCAGAGCATCAAAAATTATGGCACCTAAGTATGCAGCAATAGTAATCTATAAAAAAGCATATGGCTTTGAGTATCAGAATCTTCCTTTTAAATCAATGGATAAATTCCCAGTGAATGCAATTAATTAGTAGCTGGGGGAGGAGGAGGCCCCACAAGTATCCCGCCCCACAAGTATCCCCATCCTCAATGATAGGGGAGCCCAGCACATCAATGTAGAAGATAAGGCTGAAGCATTTGCAAATCATCTTTGACCATAAGTGCTGAGTGGATGATCCATCTCGACCTCCTCCTGAGGTCCTCAGCATCACAGATGAGAGTCGACAGCCAAATCAAATCTCCCCACATTACATTAAGGAAATGGCTGAAGGCACTGGATAGAGCAATTGAAAGGACCCAGAGAGTGCCATGTCTGCAGTAATAGGAAAAACACACCCCCTAAGACAATACATACTTTTACAGGCACGTCAGTGAACA